TCAAGCCTTATGGGCAACTTGTGGCATGTTATAACACTACCATTTTATGGAGCAATGGTTTGGGAGGAAGCATAATAAAAGCAGCAGCCAGACTACGATGTTCGAGACCACATTCCCCCATCAGTGCTTAGAGTCTTCGGCGTATAATCAGAGCATAACAGTTTACCCCCATTTACTCTTTATCTTATCTATAGATCCAGACAAGTCAGAGGTAATCCTGGTAAGTCGTAAGGCTGTACAGGGTATAGGGTTACAGCCTGTGTTGGATGGGGTTACACTCCCCCTCAAGATGCAGGTTTGCAGCTTGGGAATTCTTCTGGACTCATCGCTGAGCCTGGAACCTCATGTTTCAGCGCTGGCCAGGGAGAGCATTCGCACAATTAAAACTTGTATGCCAGTTGCGCCCGTACCTTGGGAAGTCAGACTTGGCCACGGTAGTCCATGCTCTGGTTATATCCCAAAAAGACTACTGCAATGCAATCTATGTGGGGCTGCCTTTGAAGACTGTGCAGAAACTACAAATGGTCCAACGGGTGGCAGCCAGATTGTTCACCGGTGCGGCGTACAGGGAGCATACAACTCCCCTGTTAGCTCCACTGGCTGCCAATCTGCTACCGAGCACAATTCAAAGTGCTGACTTTAGCCTATAAGGTCCTAAATGGTTCTGGCCCAGCTTATTTGTCAGAACATATTTCCTACTATGAACCATCATGGAGTTTAAGATCATCTAGGGAGCCCCTGCTCTCGGTCCCACCTCCCTCACAAGAGCGATAGGTGGAGATGAGAGACAGGGCCTTCTCAGTGGTGGCCCCTCAGCTGTGGAACTCCCTTCCCAGGAATATTAAATCAGCCCACTCCCTCCTGATCTTCCACAAGAGAGTGAAAATGTGGCTTTGTAACCAAGCCTTTAGAGAACTTGTGCAATAGATAGACTTGGAACAATGACCACTGGAACAGCCTGCATTACGCTCGTGAATTACATGTTTAACTCTAAATGTATTGTTTTTAATGTTTTAATTGTTTTTAATGTACTTTTCCTGAGACTGTGCATGGAAGCAAAAATGAAAGCAACTTCAAAATGCGTTTTTGTAGCCCCCATTAGTGAGTAGCTTCTTTATTCTGATGTTCTGGATTACAGTTACCATAACTTTTGAAAATAGGTCACACCCAGGGCTCCTAAAAAACTGGTTTACTCATGAATTTTAACTGTTTAACCAAATCCCCATGCTAAGTCTATGAGAAGCAAAAATTAAACAAGGATATGGTAATATTTTGGATGCATGTGGATGAATGCATGTACATGTGGTGTGAATGTTGAGTGAAAATGTAATTCCCCTTTGTTTGTTTGTTAACCAATGTAATTGTAAATCCAATGTAGTTGCATAGAATCTGTTTGTCTGTATGTCCAATGTCATTCTTTGTCTAAATGTTTTTCTGTAATCTAATATACCTTCTCACACTGAAAATTGCAATAAAAAGAACCTATGCTTTAAAATCATTGAAACGTCATTCATGACATCTCCAGCAAATTTTGACAATTTATTCACAGTCATTACTTGCAGCAAAAGCAGATATAGTGGAAGCAACCAAGTTGGCCCACCCATAACTGGCAGGCAAAGCCTAAAGTATGGGAGAGATTAGATTTAAAGCCCCCCCCCCCCAAATGAGGGAAACCAGAAAATAGATGTAATTAACTATATAAAATATAGAATGAGCTATACTACTATTTAAATTATTTTGTGTTATGGAACTACTCTTCATGATTCACTTTAAAAAAATGTCAATCCCCCTCCCCAAATTTGTTTCTGGCTATGGCTCTGGCCACACCAGCTGAGATTTATGGGAGATGAAGTCCAAAACATTTAAAAAAGTACCAAAGAAACCTACAAACTTTTCATCTATCAACCTCTTCTCTTCTTATGTTCCTTGGACACAACTGTATTCTGCTTGTTCTTGATGTTTTTTGCAAGTATACAAAAAAAGAAAACACTAATTTTAGGAAGGACACGATACAAAATTGTCCACTTAAGTGTACTCTGATATCGAACACAACTGCCCAATAACCTCCTGACATCCACCATTAATTGTTACTTGTTGAAATATAGAAATCACAAAAAAATATATTAATTGTCATAATTGCCATAAGCTAACACTTGGTTTTTCCTCATTCCCCTCCAGTTTCTCCTATTAGGCAAACATGTTTATTTACCAATAGCATACAACACAACAAAGTATTCAAAGCACACATAGGAGTGCAGAAGTTTCTAATTACAAGTCAGCGTCAATCTGATTGTAATAGGACTACTACAGATACAAACCAACTTTAGTTGTGATGGGAGTCTAGTAATAGTGTTAATACACAAATGTCCTATTACTATAAACTTCAGCACAAATACCAATTTGAGTAATAAGAAAAATACCAAACTAACTCATATAATACACAAGCGTGGGAAACAAACACATAGGGACAATTTACAACAGTGTAACAAACACAATATTCRTGTTTTTCAAAATAATTTGTCAGATCTTCTAAAGGTCACATGGACCTCTTTAAATTTACTGTGTTGTTGTAGGTTTTTTCGGGCTATATGGCTGTGGTCTAGAGGCATTCTCTCCTGACGTTTTGCCTGCATCTATGGCAAGTATCCTCAGAGGTAGTGAGGGCTCACTACCTCTGAGGATGCTTGCCACAGATGCAGGTGAAACGTCAGGAGATAATGCCTCTAGACCATGGCCATATAGCCCGACAACAACCCAGTGATTCYGGCCATGAAAGCCTTCGACAATACTCTTTAAATTTAGTTTATACAGCCTCAGAAGATATTATTGCAAATGAATGAATGAAGGAACCTTGAAAGAAACCTGAAGAAGAGATACTCCTCTTGAAACAAGGACATAAAAACACCCGGGAACCTTGTATTCCCAAGACTGTTTGTCACATTTTGAATTCACATGGGACAATATTGGATATGTTGAAGTTTTTCCATACGACCTTTAGAAGATCTGACAAATTATTTTGAAAAACATGAATATTATGTTTGTTACACTGTTGTGAATTGTCCCTATGTGTTTGATTCCCACGCTTGTGTATTATATGAGTAAGTTTGGTATTTTTCTCATTACTCCAATTGTGCAGGTACAGCTGTACCAGGAGCTCCAATTTTGTTTGCTTTGCATTGAATGTTTGTTGTAGTCCTAAGTTTCAGGGACTCTGCAGATAGGTGGCTTCTTTTGGCTGCAATCATAGGGTAAGCCACCTGTCAATTATAGTTAGGTTCCCTGGTCCCGCCCCCTTTTTGGGTTTTGGTAGGAAAGTGAGCCATTTTGAGTTTAGTTTCAGCCAGGTTAGCCAATGTATAGGATGTGTGTTGCTTCCCCTGTACAAAGGCTTCAACCTTTAAGAATTTCCAGGGTTACAACAGAACCTCCAGGGAAAGAATTTCCAAGGGAGAACAGCTTTAAGAGTCTACTAAGAACTCCAGTGAAGCCTTCCCATAGCCTTGAGAGTTTCCAGGAAGACAGCCTTAAGGTCTAAAGAACTCCAACTGGAGAACATCCATTGCCTTGCTGGTAGGTCCTCTCAGCGCTCGAGAAGCAGTTCGGCCTGGCAGTGGTACCCACACCAGTAAGGACTGGATTTGTCAGCCTTGGGAGAAGTTAAAAAAGAGGATTATTCCTTTAAAGAAAGTTATTGAAGATAGTGCCTGTCCCCTGTGGGCAAGATTGAGAAAACTAATTCAAGAAAGCTTTGAAGTACCTGTTTGATTATCTGTTTGATTCATTAATAAAAGACTTTGTTGTATTTTTCAAGCCATATGAAGATTCTTTTGTAGTGGAAACCTCTGAGAACTTCTTCTTAGGCTCCTGGCTTCCCACTGGGCAAAGGTTACACATCCTATATTTAAAGCCAACCAAATACAGGCCCAGCGGCGACGGAACACCGATTGGTATTTGTGCTGAAGTTTATAGCAATAGGACATTTGTGTATTAACACTGTATTTATAGATATCTGGGTAGTTAGAGTCTAGTAATAGTATCAATGAACAAGTCATCCTAAGCCATGGTTGAGTTCAACAAGGTAAGTGGTGGATTTGGCCAGAACGAGGAAGATATTGAAGTCAGCTCGTGTTTGCAAACTATGGCTTACAGTGGAGAAAGGCTACAATACTGTACATATTTTGATATCTTCCAACCTTTAGTGATTAGAAGGTTAATTAATAGTTAATTAATAGAATAATTAATAGAAGCAAAGACCACCAGCATTGAAGCGATGATCCTCTGCCATCAACTCCGCTGGGCCGGCCACGTTGTCCGGATGCCTGACCACCGCCTCCCAAAGCAGTTGCTCTACTCTGAACTTAAGAACGGAAAACGGAATGTTGGTGGACAGGAAAAGAGATTTAAAGATGGGCTCAAAGCCAACCTTAAAATCTGGCATAGACACTGAGAACTGGGAAGCCCTGGCCCTTGAGCGCTCCAGCTGGAGGTCAGCTGTGACCAGCAGTGATGCAGAATTCGAGGAGGCATGAGTGGAGGGTGAAAGAGAGAAACGTGCCAGGAGGAAGGCGTCAAGCCAACCCCGACCGGGACCGCCTTCCACCTGGAAACCAATGCCTCACTGTGGGAGAAGATGCGGGTCAAGAATAGGGCTCCACAGCCACCTACGAACCCACAAGGAAACGCATAATGGAAGACCATCTTACTCGTCCAACGAGGGATTGCCTAAGTAAGTAAGTAAGTAAGTAAGTAAGTAATAGTTGGACTCTTATTTATTGGCTGTTATTCATTGGTCATTCAATGAAAATGGAGTGGATCTGTCCAACAAATGTTTGGCAGAACAATTAGACTTATTTTGGGCAGCACAACATAGAAAGCAAAGTTCATCTTTGGGAAATTCAACAGAGGTACAAGAACAGCCTCCCACCAATCTTACAAATAATAGCATTGGGGAGCCCCATAACCCGAAAAGGTCAAGAGGTACTGAAGGTTAAAAGGCTTACCGATGAAATATGCCAGCAGGATCACCAACGCGACAGAGATGATAATGGCACTCAAGGCAGCACATTTCCAGGTACAGTACTTATAGGGCTTCTTCAGGTTAAAGGCTGGTCGAGAGAACGTACTTCTGGGAAGGGGCCTAGGGGGAGGCGAGTACACAGTGCTGGACGTCAAGGGATATCCTGGCGACGTGGTACAAAAGAGGGGAGAGGTGCCGCCAGGCTTGAACAAGAAGTGCCTGTCGAAAGAGAGAAAGGTCATCGGTAACGGACTCTTCAACCAACACAACTGCTGAGTATCTTAGACAGAGAAACCTTGGTTGGAAAAAGAAAGAAAGAAAGCAAACACATACAAGCAAACCATGCACTGAAGAAAAAGAATTTGTTTTTGTTCAAAGAAGGCACGAGGAATGAAAAGAGAAAGAAAAATGAAACACGCCTATTAGGTAAAAAGGTATCTGTGCAATCCTATACATGTCTACTCAGAGGTTCAATGGGATTGATTTTCTGATAAGCGTATACAGGATTGCCTCCAGCAATGCTGCTGCGGCTGTTGAAACCAACAGAAAATGCTAAAGAGACAGTAAGTCTTCCACTTTTAAAGAGGTTAGGCAGGCAAGACCTCAGTGAAAGCGGAACAAAATGTGAATTTTAAAATTGCTATTTTTTTAACCTGAGATAACAACTCTCAGTAGTTGTCAACCTGGGGGTCCCTTGATGTTTTGGCCTTCAACTCCCAGAAATCCTAACAGCTGGTAAACTGGCTGGGATTTCTGTAGGTCAAAACATCTAGGGACCCAGAGGTTGACAACCACCACATTAGATCTTCCAATGCAATTTCATGATCAACTTCTGGTGGCAGTTGATCATAGATTTATGATGGAGGACTTAGGGATATTTTGATCTCATGTATACATGAGCATATAGGGCAGTGTTTCTCAACCTACCTAATGCCACAACCCCTTAATACAGTTCCTCCTGTTGTGTTACCCCCAGCCATAAAGTTATTTTTGTTGCTACTTCATAATTGTAATTTTGCTCCTGTTATAAATTGTAATGTAAATATCCGATATGCAGGATGGATTTTCATTCACTGGACAAAATTTGGCACAAATACCCAATACGCCCAAATGTGAATACTGGTGGGTTGGGGGGAGGGGGGAATTGATTTTGTCATTTGGGAGTTGTAGTTGCTGGGATTTATAGTCAACCTACAACTAAAGAGCATTCTGAACTCCACCAATGATGGAACTGAAACAAATCTGTCATCTGTCAGGGGTGATTTGAATGCAATATTCCTGCTTCTTGGCAAGGGGGTGGACTGGATGGCCCATGAGGTCTCTTCCAACTCTTTGATTCTATGATTCTATGAAAGTTGGCACACAGAACTCCCATGACCAACAGAAAACACTGGAAGGGTTTGGTGAGCATTGACCTTGAGTTTTGGAGTTATAGTTCACCTACATCCAGAGGGCACTGTGGACTCAAACAATGATAGATTTGGACCAAACTTGGCATTAATACTCAATATGCACAGATGTGAACACTGGTGGAGTTTGGGGGAAAACAGATCTTGACATTTGGGAATTGTAGTTACTGGGATTTATAGTTCTACAAGCAAAGAGCATTCTCGGTGGTGGCCCCTCAACTCTGGAACTCTCTCCCTAAGAACATCAGGCACGCCCCAACGCTGGCAGTTTTTAGGAGGAGCTTGAAAACGTGGTTGTTCCAGTGTGCCTTCCCAGAATAAGGAAACTCCAAGCAAGATGTCCCCAAATGCACTTTACTAGAGATCTAGGACATCTGCACGCCCCACCCCCCTCCAAATACCTATCCTTTTCACCTGGTCATGCCCTGCATATTTTTAAATTTTAATTATTACATTTGGCCCTGCCATAGATTTAATGCGTCATGGTATGTTGTTTATGTTTATTGCTTTGTTTTGAGTTCATTTATTGTTGTATTGTTGTTGTCGTTGTTTTTACTGATGTATGTGGGCTCGGCCTCTTGTAAGCCGCATCGAGTCCACCAGGAGATGGTAGCGGGGTATAAATAAAGGTTTATTATATTATTATCCCCAGCAATCACAGAATTGGGCCAAACTTCCCACACAGAACCCCCATGACAAACAGAAAAAAAATGCGTTTTCTGATTGTCTTTGGTGACTCCTCTGACATGCCCTCATGATCCCCGCCCCAGGTGTCCCAACCCCCAGGTTGAGAAACACTGATATAGGGTAATATAATCAATGTGGTATTTAGCCAGAGTTGGTTACTTATTGTGTTCCCAATCCTGCCATTCTGTTCAGTTCCCAAGAGAGAAGTGCACAGAATGTGAAAGCACAGAATGAGAAGCTTGGCTTCAGCAGAACCAATGCCACATGTGTATTCAAGACCACGGCTCCCAGAGCAGGCAAGTAATAAGCTCTTGGAGACTGAATGGGTCTCATGTTGTATCTATCTATTATTACTATTTTGAAAAGGGTGTCTCTCCCTCGGAGGCATAAAGCATTGTGATCCCTACAATCCTGGAGATAAACCCAGTTCTGTCCTCTCAGATCAAAATATTGCCCATCTCTTCTAGGTAAAAAACATACAAATTATAAGGCAAAAGAAGTTGAAGAGAAGAATCACAACTGAGGAAAAAAATATCACATACAGAGAAAGGCATTTCCTCCCATAACCCAGACAACAAACCTGGAAAACGTAAGATTAGGACATTGATCTCAGAAGAAACTCAGTGCAAACACAGTGTTAGATGAAGTCCTACTGAAAGGTTACTACAGCTGCCTCTGTGTTAGTGAAATGACCCCACAGTGTCAGGAAGGAGCCAATGGGATGCCATGAAACCAGCATATTAACGAGGCTGCCATTAATATGTACAGGACAATTTGTGTTCCAGATACTTAAGTACCTCATTGCGTTGATCGACCCCTTTTCAAGGATGAGTGAAACAAGAGGAAAAATAAGGATGGGGTCAGGTTAGGCAAGACAGAAAACAAAACACTATTGTATCATGCAAGGTTCAGGAGATGTTTGCACGAGCAGAAGAGGAAAGACCACGTTAAGCGCCAACGTACCCATCATTGTAAGCACCATCATGTCGGGAGGAGGTGAGAATGTCCATCTCAATGAGGTTGTCCTGCAATGTCTCTAGGAATGTCTGCTTTGCTATGTTTCTACGTACATATGGAAACATGAATGAAGCCAAGTGAGACATGCATCTATGAAGTGCGACCTCATCAACCCACAATGGTTATAGTGCAGCTGTGCATGAAATTAGAATGATGGGCCACTTGTTCATATGTATAGCATGTTATAACATATACATATACAGCATTTTCAGGACATTCACTGCCATATCTGCACATCAGTGTCACCAGTGCATACACACAACAATATATACATACAAGTACATGTATTTTAGCAAATAGCTAACATTTGGCAAACTTCGACACTGATATCTTGAAGTTGATGACTCCAAACAAATTTTGCAAATCCGCTGAAATTTCATTGACAGGTTACCATCATTGTATGATGTTGATTCAATTTAAATTAATACACTCCGTAGCGTTATTTTTGAGTTTTCGGATATTTACAGAAAGGGTTTGGCATTATCAACAATCACAGAATCATTGGATTCTGGACATAACTGGATCAACAAACACACACACTTGTATTTGAGTACACATCTATACATGAAAATCAAAGTTATTTGATTTTGTAGTCACTTTTCATGGCTTTCCTGTCTAAACCCATCACAGCTGACACTATCCGATCTACTGGACGTCTTAATTTCTCACAGCAAGTGTTCCCAGTAATGAGTCTGTCTCAGTGGGTGCTCCGGCGAGAAGTGACAGAATATGCCAGTCAATGATCTTCCTAGAAACCATGGCTTCAGAGATCCTCTGATAAGGATTCAGTTAGGTCACATCTCATTCTGCCTTCTTTTTGTTTCATTCCATGATTGTTAACCACCAAGAAATCCCGATGATACTCTTACCTGGAACATATATCACATAATCCCCTGTTGTGACAGCTCCACTAGGTGCCTATCTGCTACAGAGCACAATTTAAATTACTGGCTTTGGCTTATAAAGTCCTAAGTGGTTCTGGCCCAGTTTACCTGTCTGAACATATCTCCTTTATGAACCACCAAGGATGTTAAGATCATCTGGGGAGGCCCTGCTCTCAGTCCCACCACCTTCACAGGCACGACTGGTGGGAATGAGAGACAAGGCCTTCTCCGTGGTGGCTCCTCAGCTGTGGAACTTTCTCCCCAATTAAGTTAGGTCTGCCCCCTTCCTCCTGACCTTTCATTAAAAAAACTCAAAACCTGGCTGTGGGTTCAAGCATTTCTTTATGTGCTCCCTGTAAATAACTTGCTCCTATTCTTATCTCATTCGTGTTTTTAACATTTTATTTGTACATTGTCATTGCAATTGTGTCATTGTATGTTATTTTGCTACTGCACTCATATGTTTCCCCCCTCTTTTTTGTTAATGTAATTTGATGCTGTTGCTTGTTGCTTATGTTTTGTTTTTGCTGTAATATGTTGTCCGGGCTTGGCCCCATGTAAGCCGCTCCGAGTCCCCATCGGGGAGATGGTGGCGGGGTATAAATAAAGTTTATTATTATTATTATATTATTATAACTGGGAAGATAATGTTTTAAGTGACCACAATGGATAGACCTGGACTATGATTTTGAACCAGCAAACTGTTTTTAACTTGAATTGTTTATAATTGTTTTAATTGTTTTAATCGTTGTTAATGTGAACTGTGGTTTTTAATATATTATGTTGGCATCTAATGATTTTGGTGAACAGGAAAAGAGATTTAAAGATGGGCTTAAAGCCAGCCTCAAAAACTGTGGCATAGACACCGAGAATTGGGAAGCCCTGGCCCTTTAGTGCGCTAACTGGAGGTCAGCTATGACCACCAGTGCTGCAGAATTCGAAGAGGCACAAATGGAGGGCGAAAGGGAGAAACATGCCAAAAGGAAGGCATATCAAGCCAACCCTGATCGGGACCACCTTCCGTCTGGAAACTGATGTCCTCACAGGGGGAGAACATGCGGATCAAGAATAGGGAGATTAGGACAAGGAACAATGGCTTCAAACTACAAGAAAGGAGACTCCATCTGAACATGAGGAAGAACTTCCTGACTGTGAGAGCCGTTCAGCAGTGGAACTCTCTGCCCCGGAATGTGGTGGAGGCTCCTTCTTTGGAAGCTTTTAAACAGAGGCTGGATGGCCATCTGTCGGGGGTGCTTTAAACATGATTGTCTTGCTTCTTGGCACTTGTATCTGATCTCTAATATTACCATCCTTGAATTCATCTCAAGCTCCGGTTTGCTTACAAAACCAAAGTCTGCATAAATAGCAAAAGTCAAAGGAAAACAAGTCAACTGCCACCCTTGGCAAGGTTAGGTGCCCTTGACGTGCTCTTCTTCCACCCAAGAACAAATGTCTGTATAAATAGGATTATCATTTCTGATATGAGGGTGGGGTTGGAGTGGGAACATTCCCCAGAGCAACTGCATTCAAACATCCGAACTTTAGAGAACAAACATCCTATTTGCAGAAAGACACCAGTAAGTTTTGTAGACTTTTTCAACCTATAATGGGAACTAATGAATCAAAATTGATTAATGTATTGTCGAAGGCTTTCATGGCCAGAATCACTGGGTTGTTGTAGGTTTTTTCGGGCTATATGGCCATGTTCTAGAGGTATTTTCTCCTGACGTTTCGCCTGCATCTATGACAAGCCTCACTACCTCTGAGGATGCTTGCCATAGATGCAGGCGAAACGTCAGGAGAAAATGCCTCTGGAACATGGCCATATAGCCCGAAAAAACCTACAACAACCCAAAATTGATTAAGTTATTTATTTAAGTTCCAGGCACAATTCGAAGCTTTTTCTTGTAATGTTTTATGTTTTAATGTGTTGTCGAAGGCTTTCATGGCCAGAATCACTGGGTTGCTGTGAGTTTTCTGGGCTGTATGTCCATGTTCCAGAAGCATCCTCTCCTGACATTTCATCTGTTTGAGCACTAACATTTGCCTCAAATAGATCTGAGTTTTGGACATTCTACAGATATATAGACATCACTTGCCTAGTTTCTAACAGACCTCATAACCTCTGAGGATGCCTGCCATTGGTGTGGGATTAATGTCAGGAGAGAATGCTTCTGGAACATGGCCAGATTGCTCAGAAAACTCACAGCAACCTGCGGAACAATGGCTTCAAACTACAAGAATGGAGATTCCATCTGAACATGAGGAAGAACTTCCTGACTGTGAGAGCCGTTCAGCAGTGGAACTCTCTGCCCTGAGTGTGGTGGAGGCTCCTTCTTTGGAAGCTTTTAAACAGAGGCTGGATGGCCATCTGTCAGGGGTGCTTTGAATGCAATATTCCTGCTTCTTGGCAGGGGATTGGACTGGATGGCCCATGAGGTCTCTTCCAACTCTTTGATTCTATGATTCTATGATTATGTTTTGTTAACTGACTTTAACTTTGTGATATGTGAATTGCATTTAAACTTCTGCATGCTGTGAGTTTTTAGACATGGTTGTTTTGACTGTTGCAGCAGCATGAAATCCCAAACTGGAGGGAAAGGTAGGGTTTAAATAAGGAAAAGGAAGTGATAGAGACAGAGAAGGAAAATAAGAAATGGTTGAAATTTGGTAATGAAAACTGGCAACGTACCGAAACATATTTCATCAAAGACTATAAGTTGAATTTTCAATTTAAAGGGTGCTCCGAAATTAAATTACCAATGTAGATACTTATTAATGAAAAAAGCCACAGTGCTAAAGAACCAAATAATTTTTAATCAGCCAATTGATTCTTTACCTAAACCCCAGTTCTTTTGGTTTTTTTTTCTTTTTGCAAAACTACTTCTTGTTTTTTGTATTCAAAGATTTAGGCCTCAAGACTCAACCTGTTTGTTTAAAAAGAGAAAAAGATCTTGTAAAAAAAGATCTTGGGGTCCTCGTGGACAACAAGTTAAACATGAGCCAACAATGTGATGTGGCAGCAAAAAAAGCCAATGGGATTTTGCCTGCATCAATAGGAGCATAGTGTCTAGATCTAGGGAAGTCATGCTACCCCTCTATTCTGCTTTGGTTAGACCACACCTGGAATACTGTGTCCAATTCTGGGCACCACAATTCAAGAGAGATATTGACAAGCTGGAATGTGTCCAGAGGAGGGCAACTAAAATGATCAAGGGTCTGGAGAACAAGCCCTATGAGGAGCGGCTTAAGGAGCTGGGCATGTTTAGCATGAAAAAGAGAAGGCTGAGAGGAGATATGATAGCCATGTATAAATATGTGAGAGGAAGCCACAGGGAGGAGGGAGCAAGCTTGTTTTCTGCTTCCTGGAGACTAGGACGATCATAGAATCAAAAGAGTTGGAAGAGACCTCATGGGCCATCCAGTCCAACCCCTGCCAAGAAGCTGGAATATTGCATTCAAATCACCCCTGACAGATGGCCATCCAGCCTCTGTTTAAAAGCCTCCATAGTAGGAGCCTCCACCACACTCCGGGGCAGAGAGTTCCACTGCTGAACGGCTCTCACAGTCAGGAAGTTCTTCCTCATGTTCAGGTGGAATCTCCTTTCTTGTAGTTTGAAGCCATTGTTCCTTGTCCTAATCTCCATGGAAGCAGTAAACAAGCTTGGAACATTGGCTCCAAACTACAGGAAAGAAAGGAGATTTCATCTGAACATTAGGAAGAACTTCCTGACTGTGAAAGCTGTTCAGCAGTGGAACTCTCTGCCCTGGAGTGTGGTGGAGGCTCCTTATTTGGAAGCTTTTAAACAGAGGCTGGATGGCCATCTGTCATGGGTGCTTTGAGCGCAATTTTGCTGCTTCTTGGCAGAATGGGGTTGGACTGGATGGCCCATGAGGTCTCTTCCAACTCTATGTTTCTATGATTCTATAAATAAGGTTGAAGAACTTTTCAGGTTAAAGGTAAAGGTTTCCCCTTGACATTAAGTCTAGACGAGTCCTACTCTGGAGGGTGGTTCTCCTCTCTATTTCTAAGCTGAAGAGCCAGCATTGTTCATAGATGCCTCCTGGATCATGTGGCCAGTATGACTGCATGGAGCGCCATTACCTTCCCGCCAAAGCGGTACCTATTGATCTACCCACATTTGCATGTTTTCGAACTGC